ATGCTTTGTCCTACATTATACCATGCAGTAGAAAAAAGAAAAAAAAAAGGGAAAGGTAAAGTTAGCATTTTGAAGATAGGTGTAAGATTAACCACAGTTGTAGTACAAAGAAAAAAATAAATCTGCACTTCCACTTATACATGAAATACTCTGCTCTATTCAAATTGTTAAATTTACATAATAAAGCAAAAAGACAGATTTCACTTCACATGATAAAAATCTAAAATGTAAGCACTATCATATAATGCTTAAATAATACAAACTCTTGTTTTGAGTTTGGATATGAATAAAAATATCTGCTATTTCCACTTTTATTCATACATTTGCAAGGGTCTGCTTTTAAAAAGAGAATAATATTAATATCTTTGCAAAGAAACTAACAGTCTTTTATCATTGAGTGACAGTCTTAAGAAAGATATTCATAGAGACAATGACTAACTTACTTAAATGATTTGAGGAAGCTTCAAGGTTACTGAGAACAAACTCAGTATAAGATATTTAGATTTCTAAAAATTAAAGATTGATACTCTTTACATAACATAGACATGAAAAATGTCACAGTTCATAAAGGAAAATACCTAATTAGAAATGATATCAATTGATCTAAATGTGACTAAAGCCTTTTTAAATTAAAATGTATATACATTAATTTGAAAGGTAATAACTAGAAATGGAATGATGCTGTAAAAGCAAAAGAAAATCACAAAAAAATAAGAAAGGAAATTAGAGAATGAAACTAGAGGAACATTCATTCCAATGCCATAAACATCCAGGTACGTACCGTAGAGCAGAAAGAACACTCAGCGGACAGATCAATGAGAGATCTGGAGAGGTTCAGATACCGAGAATAAAAAGAATGAAGAAGTGAAAAAAACAGAGGGATGACAAGAAAAGTAAGAACATACAGGTAAAGTTCACAGAAAATGCTGGAAGGATGAATCTGAAGACAACAAAAGGATGCGGTGTGAGCAGGCGTGGTGGGGAGCAGGCAGCAGGGAGAGGCCTCGCCGCCCTCCCACCCCCAGGCTAAGGGTAAAGGGTCCTTACTGGTGGTGTCCTGGAAAGGCTGGGCTGCCCAGCACTTACTGTGGATCAGGCCCGGGTGGGCTGGATGTCTCCTCCCTGTGGACGCCGGTCATCTTGTCACCTGCTGACACCTCCATCACCTTGTTTATTGTCATCACTTTGATGCCCCGAGGAGAGTTCCAAATCACCCTCCCAGATGCACAATGAACCATGAGTGCAAACAGGCGTTTGGGGCTGAGTTTTCCCAAGCTGAACATCAGAAAGTAAACTTCAGGATGACGTCATCAGAAGTTCATCTCCACACAGCTGCTGGCAATCATGATCTCACTATTGGTTTCTGAATGTTCTTATTCAAGAATGATGCTTGACTTTATTTTCTCTCTCCAATTTGCAGTTATTTTTTAGAATTTGTTTTTCCCTCTATGAATCCTGTTAATGTCTTTTTGGGGAATTATTTTTATTATTTAAAAATTTATTTATTTATTTATTTGAAAGGCAGAATGAGAGATTATTTTTCATCTGCTGGTTCATTGCCCATTGCCAAAATGACTGAGGCTGGGCCAGGCTGGAGCCAGGAATTCCATCCTCATGGAATTGCTTGGGCCCAAGTGCTTGGGCCATCCTCTGCTATTTTCTCAGGAAAGTTACGAAAAAGTTGCTTTGAACCTGAGGCAGCTGACACTCAGGGTGATGCTGGCTTAAAACCAGGAGATTAACCTTCTGCACACAATACTGTCCCCTGCTGTACTTGTTCTAGTACCATTGTTTTCTTACAGGGTTCTATTTCAATCTTCACATGTAAAGGACAATAGCGTTGACAAATGTCACTCTCCCTCACTTCCTCCCTCACACCAGAGACACCCATGCAGAAGTATTGCTCAGCCTCCCCCAGATTCCTCACAAAACAGCTGGCAAATAAGACATAGGGAGCAGCTTGTGAAACAGATAAGGAGATCCTGAAAAAAAAAAAAAAACCCTGAATTCTTACTGCTAGCAAGTCTCCTTCCCCACTGGCAGCAAGTTCTCTCTTTTTTTAACTTTTTACTTATTTACTTGAGAGGTAGAGTTACAGACAGTGAAAGGGAGAGACAGAGAGAAAGGTCTTCCATACAGAAGTTCACCCCACAAATGGCTGCAACAGGAAGAGTTTTGTTGATCTAAAGCCAGGAGCCAGGAGTTTCTTTCATGTCTTCCACACAAGTGCAAGGGCCCAAGCACTTGGGCCTTCTTCCACTGCTGTTCCAGGCCATAGCAGAGAGCTGGATTGGAAGAGGAGCAGTCAGGATGAGAACTGGGCCCCATAAGGGATGCCAGTGCAGAGCCACAGGCAGAGGACAAACTGACTGTTCCACAGTGCTGGCCCCAAGTTCCCTCTTCAGCCAGATAAAAACCCAGCCCTACACATGCCCTGTGCACAGTCTCTTCACAAGAACAGACTGTCCCCCACTCTTTGCTTCAGTAAAAGCACCTGTCTTTCTCGAGCTCGGGCTCCATCTCCTTATTCTGTCTCATGTCTGGGGGCTACGAAAGGCCAGAACCCCAAGATATTCCAAACCTGACATTTGTTTACATAATGGATTTCAGAGGAAGGAATTTTAGTTTACTTTCTCTAAGTGCATATGTAAAAATACTATTTTCAGGATGAATGTATTAAGATGTGAGAAATGAGTAATTTTTCTATTCAGTGATTTATTTGGGGGCTGGTGCTGTGGCATGGAAGGTAAAGTTGCCACCTGTAGCACCAGCATCCCATATGGGTACTGGTTCCAATCCCTACTGTTCTACTTTCCATCCAGCTCCCTGCTGATGTGCCCAGAAAAGCAGCAGAAGATGGCCCAAGTGCTTGGGCTCCTGCACCCATGTGGGAGAACTTGGAAGAAGCTCCAGTCTCTTGGCTTCAGCCTGGCACAGCCCTGGCCATTGTGGCTATTTGGGAAGTGATCCAGCAAATGGAAGACCTCTGTCTCTGTAATTCTTTCTAATAAATAGTTTTAAAAATATTTATTTCTAGTCCATATCTCATTATACCTGTACTCAGATCACAGGTGTCTAAATGAATTAAACTCTTCAATTTGTGGACACTCAGTGTTCACTGCACAGTTGCTTTTACCAAGTGCCTCATGTGTGCTGGAGAAACACGAGGATTTTGAGTTCTGTGGGAATTACTGTTCTATGTTTTTAAGTGTCTTGTTCACATTTCTGACATCACTGTGTTGTTTTGGGTTGTTTTTCTGTTCATGAGTAAAAAAGGCTGATGATTCCCACTGTGGTGTGGGATTTTTTCACTTTTATCATGGTATCATTTTATACCACTTATTAAAATTTTATTAATTTCCATAAACAAAGATAATACCTGTATTAAAATCGTATCTGATATGTGGCAGCTAATTGAGAATCGAAATGTAGAGGAATGAAATGGTCACTTTGGAATACAACTGTCGCTTTTACCACAGGTTTATACACCTGTGAAACTGTGGTGTTCTTTTTTTTAACTTTTATTTATTTGAAAGTGTTACAGACAGGGAGAGACAGAGGCAGAAAGAGGAACAGTGGTCTTCTGTCTGCTGGCTCACTCCCAAATGTACACAAAGGCCAGTGCTGGGCCAGGCAGAAGCAAAGAGCCAGGAATTTTAACTGGGTCCTTTAAGTGGGTGCAGTGCCCCCAAGAACTTGGGCCATATTCTGCTGTTTCTCCCAGACACATTAGCAGAGAAATGGATCTGAAGTGCATTAGCTGAGACTCAAACTGGCAGCCACATGAGATGTGGCACTGCAGGCCATGGCCTACCCCACTACATGAAAATGCTAGCCTAAGTCTTCCCGCTTTTTGCATTCCCATATTCATCTAGTCATGGTGATTTATTTTGATTCACAATGTGTGGTATATGACACCCAGTTGCCATGGAAGGGTTGAAGCAATGCTCCTACTTGGTAAATACAAATTACTAATGTACCTAATGCAAAATTGACATGGGTGGGTGTTTGGCCTGGCAGTGAAGATACCACTTGGGATACAGACATCCTGTAACCAAGTATCTAAGTCCAAATCCCAGCTCTGGGACTCATTCTGATGCACACACTTGGAGGGAACAGCTGATGACTCAAATAAATGGGTTTCTGCCACCCATACAGAAGACCTGGCTTGAGTTCCTGGTTCCCAGCTTCACCCAGGCCCGGTAACTGGGTGCTGTAGGCATTTGGGGGACAGAACCTTCAGGTAGGAATATTTGTATGTTTCTCTTTGTGTCTCTCTGACCCTCCCCCAAAAAATAAAATTAGAACTTATAAAATATACAGTGAGAAAAACAGAAGAGTTGAACAAAAATCTAAGAAGCAATCAACACAATTATTTAAAATATCTCCAAAAATAATGATGTTTTTTGTATGACTTCTAGAACACATAGAGACAGAATCACTTGAATACTGCAAAAACCCTTCCAAAAACCAGAAACACAGGAAATATTTAGTGAACCACGATGAAGAACTTGAAAAGTTTTGTTTGAAGGCCATCAAAGACATCACTAGAAAGAAGACTTGTGGCCAGTGCCACAGCTCACTAGGCTAATCCTCCACCTGCGGTGTCAGCACCCCGGGTTCTAGTCCCGGTTGGGGCACCAGATTCTGTCCCGGTTGCCCCTCTTCCAGTCCAGCTCTCTGCTGTGGCCCAGGAGTGCAGTGGAGGATGGCCCAGGTCCTTGGACCCTGCACCCACATGGGAGACCAGGAGGAAGCACCTGACTCCTGGCTTCGGATCGGCACAGAGCACTGGCTGCAACACGCCAGCCATAGGGGCCACTAGGGGGTGAACCAATGGAAAAAGGAAGACCTTTCTCTCTATCTCTCTTTCACTGTCTAACTCTGCCTCTAAAAAAAAAAAAAAAAAAAAAAAAGACTTGTGTAAGGCAAGTAATCATGATCCTAGTTGCAAAAATCCAGACAAGGGGCAGGAAAGAAACCTCCTGTAGGGGGCATTTTACTAGGATTTTACCATTGTTTTTGGAAGCACAATGCATTCTGAACCTACTTGAGCTGAATTCAGATTCTGTCGCTTTGGAGGTGATTAGACGAATGGCACCAGACACAATCAGGGAACCAGTGTTCATGGGTTTCAGGGTTGCGGGGGAAGAAGTCCCCAGATTTCCACTGCATGCGACCTGGTTCACTCATCACCTGTCAGCTGAGGAAGATGAGGCAGAAACCACTGAAAAACAACTCTGTCATCTGGCATCAACTCTACTACAGTGCTGGCTTCTAATCATCTAAAAGAGAAAAGAAATCCTACATGTAACAAATACCATCAATACAGAGTACTCGTCTTCCATTCTACCATTTGTGCCTTCAAGTTTCTTTGTAATTTAAGAATATATTAGTTGGAATTACTTGAAACTGTGTTGCCTAATATGATCAACAATGTTAAATACTCTTAATTTTTAAAAAAGTATCCTATACGGGCTGGCACTCTGGCATAGCTGGTAAAAGCCACTGCCAGCAGTGCTGGCATCCCATATGGGCGCCAGGTTGAGACCTGGCTGCTCCACTTCTGATCCAGCTTCTGCTATGGCCTGTGAAAGCAGTAGAAGATGGCCCACCTCCTTGCGCCCTGCACCCACATGAGAGACCGGTGCTTGCGGCAACATTTTCCCCAGCTGAGCAAATGTCAGAAAGCAAACTTCAGGCCAACACATGTCATCAGAAGTTCGTCTCCACGCAGCTGGTGGCATCACCCCAGCCCGTGACTTGATCAAGCCCTGGTGTTGAGTCCAGAAAATATGCTCACTCCTCCCCCAACCTGCCCTCGCAACTCCTCACCACCACCACCACAGGCACTTCTCAGTGCTGGGTACCCACGGATTGCTGTGGACTCCACCTGTCTGTTAAAATGTGTGTGACTCCATGTAAGAATTCCTTCCTCCCAGAACCTTCTGACCTTCCACCTAACACAGGATGCAAACTACAGGAAGTGAGAAAATGAAATATATACATGCAAAGCAGCTTGGTTAATAGAACTCTGTTGGTAACTGTGAACACCTCCACCTGATCCTTTTTCTTTAAAATTTTATATAAAACTTTTATTTAATAAATTTCATAAGTACAACTTTTGATTATAGCGGTTCTTCCCCCCATACAAATGCTCCCACCACAAACCATCCCACCTCCTACTCTCCCTCCCATCCCATTCTTCACTAAGATTAATTTTTAATATTCTTTATAGACAGAAGATCAACTCTATACTAAGTAAAGAATATAACAGTTTGCACCCACACAGACACACAAAGTATAAAGTACTGTCTGAAGACGAGTTTTACTGTTAATTTTCATAGTATAACACATTAAGGACAGAGGTTCTACGTGGGGAACAAGTGTACAGTGACTCCTGTTGTTAATTTAACAATTGACATTCTCACTTATGACATCAGTGATCACCAGAACACTTGTCATGAGCTGTCAAGGCTATGGAAGCCTCTTAAGTCCACAAACTCTGACATTATTTAAACAAGGCCATAATCAAAGTGGAAGTTCTCCCCTCCCTTCAGAGAAAGGTAGCTTCTTCTTTGATGGCCCCTTCTTTCCACCAAGATCTCACTCACAGAGATCTTTCATGTAGGTCACTTTTTGCCACAGTGTCTTGGCTTTCCATGCCTGAAATACTCTCATGGGCTTTTTAGCCAGACGCAAATATCTTAAGGGCTGATTCTGAGACTAGAATGCTATTTAGGGCATTTGTTATTCTATGAGTCTGCTGTGTGGCCCATTTCCCACGTTGGATCATTCTCTCCTTTTTAATCCTATCCATTATGTGATCCATTGACACTCCTATTTTATGATCAGCTATGAATTTAAACCCATCACTTTAACTACTAAGATGGCATTGGTACCTGCCAACTTAATGGGATTTGGAGTCCCATGGCAAGTTTTTAGCTTTACCCTTAGGGGTAAGTCCAAGGGAACATGTGCCAAACTGCAAATCTCCTCTCTCTATTATTCTGATTCTTATTCCTAACAGGGATCAATTTTCAATTGGATTTAAACACCTAAGAATAATTCTGTGTTAAGAGTTCAACCAATGGTATTACCACCTGCTCTTAAAATAAACATGTCCCTCTTTCTCCCAAGCTACTCATTCTGACGTATTAGTTTTGGCTGATTTCCTATACATTTACTCAATTTCTAGCCCACAGCCCTCCACAGAGGCTGCACCTGTGCTCAGAAGGGAACATCTTTTTTTAAAAAATTTTTGCAAATGGAAATAATTACAATAGGAACTGTCATGGTGCAGGCAGCAGACCTACTTACTGGGGGGTGATGGGGAGGCCATTGGGTTTCTGGATGCTGCTGGTGCTGTTTCTTGTTCTGGGTGTTGCTTGTATGGGAAAACATAGAATTGCATAATTTGCTGAGTATCTGTTGAACTTCACAAAAGGTTAGGGGAAAATACACAGCACATTGGTAGGAAAGGACAACTAACACTGCAACCTGAATTGAACCTGGAGGATGAAGCAATAATATGTTTTCAACCTGTACTGATTAAGGAGAAGAGTGCGATGGGCAGAGGGAAGGCAGAGGGCCATCCAGGAGGCATCCACCTCTGCTTGTTCCAGAGGGACAGAAAGGAACCAGTGGAGGACAGACCATTTCCCCGGGGGGGGGGGGTCACAACCCTTATAAGGCAGTAATGAAAATCCACCTGCTCCAACTCAGCCAATTTCTCTCATCTCTCTGAAAGTTCCTCTCAGGGTAAAGCACCAATGTTAGAGGCTCATGGAGAACACTGAGTGTTGTCCCAGGAAATGCATCTGAACTGCAAAATGCTGGAAGATAGTGGAAAAGAAACTATGGAAGGAAGAGGACCAATGCCCAGGAACCCTGGGGTAGGCAAGGTGGACTCCAGCAGGCACTAGACAGTGTAACTGCCACTGGTGTCACTCCAGCAGCAGTGACAGAGAGGCATGCACGGGTTCCAACTGCACATCACTCACTTGGAACACTCAGGATGTTACGTCATTGACAAGAGAAATGGAAGAAACCAACCCATTATTGTTTTAAAGATTTATTTATTTATTTGTTTATTTGAGAGACAGAGTTACAAACATAAAGAGACAGAGACAAATATTTATTTAATTATTTATTTGAAAGACAGAGTTACAGACACAAAGAGAGACAGAGAGAAATCTTGCATCTGCTGGTTCACTCCACAAATGGCCCAAATGGCCAGAGCTAGCCCAATCTGAAGCCAGGAGCTTTTTCAGGTCTCCCTCATGGGTAATAGGGCCCTAGCACTTGGACCCACTTCTGCTTTTCAGATGCAATAGCAGGGAGCTGGATCAGAAGTGGAGCAACTGGGACTCACACTGTCACCCAAATTGGATGCCAGCGCCATAAGCATAGGCTTAACCTTCTATCCACAGCGCCAATACATAACTGTATTGAACTATCACACTGTATTCTATAAATACGTGCAATTAGTGTATGTCAATGATAAATAAAAAGGGATGATTTGTTAAAAATTGATCCTACCATTTATGACAACATAAATGAACCAAGAAGACATTAAGCTATGAGAAATTAGCCAGCAGAGAAAGACAAATATTGTATGGCCTCACCTGTATGTGGAATCAGAAAATGTAAACAGAAGCAGAGGAGGAAGGTGGTTCCCAGGAGCTGAGGGGTAGATAAGGAAATGGGGCGATGTTAGTGAAAGGATACAATCTTTCAGTCACAAGATGAAGAATGTTTGGGAATATAATGTAAAGCACAGTGATGACTGCTAACAGCACTGTAGTGCACTCTTGGATTCGCTAACAAACTAGGTGCTAAATGTTTTCACCACAAAAAATGTGATGGATGTGTTAATCAGCTTGATTGTGATATTCATTTCATAATGCCTAAGGATACCAAGTCATCACATTGTACACGTTAAATATATATGTTTTCACTTTATTTACACTTCAATAAAGCTGAATGAAAAAGCACACTATGCCAGGCGTACGTTTTCTAACAGACTTGTATTTTAAATACAAAACATGCATACGTCAAAAGGAAGAGGATGGGAAAGATGTATCAAGCAAATGGCAACAGAAAGAGAGCCTGAGTAACCACATAAAGACCAGGAAACCAGGCTTCCAGCCCCACATGCATCCAAAAAACAACATAAAAAAATGCAAAACCGTTTTCATAGAAGATGCCCACTCTGTAAACTACCGAGAGAGAGAGCAGGTGCCCCTTCAGTCAGATCAGACAAGTCAAACTTAGGGAGGACAATAACTGAGTATATAAAAGGCCATGTTGGCATATTTAAGCTTTAAATGAGTACATACAAATAAACATAGAATCATTATCTATAATGCTAAACACATATAAAATAACAGGAAGATGCAGGAACTCAAAAATTACAGTGAGAGATTCTAACCAAGATGTTTTAGTAATTATCAAAACCAGCCCAGCAGACAAAATGTCAGTCCAGGGGCAAAAAATTTAAGCAAGTCAATTCACATCCTCCATCTAACTGCTAAGAACAGAACACAAAGAGCCTCTGTGTTTTACCCGTCTTTCCTTCTCAGACACAGCATGAACCACGGGGCAAACGCAGCCATACAGCAAGCAGGGACATGAGTATCAGTGAAGTTCCAGGGTCTAATTCAACAGGACAATTATCTTATGCAATCATAATGAGTCATCAGTAAAAGAGTAAGCAAACAGAAAAAGACTGATTTCTCACGTTCAAAACCAAAGTACTTTGTGGTAACCACTTACTGGAAACAATCCCATCAGGAAAAATGCACGATGGAATGGCCAACTTAAGAAAGGAAAAATGGAGCTGATACAGGTAAGCACAGAATCAGAGCAAACAGCCCCCCAGTGGAAAGTCAGAACAAGGTCAGGAGTCAGTTCCTCACAGAGAATAGCAACGTGACCAACCTTCAGTGGGGCAGGACCACTGGCCCAGTAGGAAGACCTAAATGATATCAGAATTCACGTGTTCAAGAAAGGGCAAATATGTTTTAAGGATTCGTTTTGATTACTTACGCCAGTCCTTTTGGAAATATAGCAGGTACGTGTAAATCCTTAGAAGACCTGACTTACCATAAAGGATACTGCAGCAGTAGAAAGCCATTAAGGTGCATTGCTCCCTGAAGTGAAATTGAAGATCATTCCATAAATGCAAAGAATGCTTCAGTGGTGAAGGGCGCAAACATACCAGACACCAAAAACACCTACACACAGGACCTAAGGATACAAACAGGAGCACATTCTATTAACTACATGATGAACACAGCATAACCTTGGAGGCAAACAGAACACAGACAGCATGAAAACAATATCTCAGCAGTATTCCAAGAACAAAATGGAAACAGTCTACTCAAAACAAGTGCAAAATGATACCAGACTGTGTAAAAAGACTCAAGAGAACTACCCCAAACCTGCAAGCTAAGTCAAACATTAAAAACTTCATCTGGGGGCCGGGACTGTAGTGTAGTGGTAAAGCCGCCGCCTGCAGTGCCGGCATCCCATATGGGCACCCATTGAGACCCAGCTGCTCCACTTCCAATCCAGCTCTCTGCTATGGCCTGGGAAAGCAGTGGAAGATGGCCCAAGTCCCTGGGCCCCTGCACCTGTGAAGAGACCCAGAAAACCTCCTGGCTCCTGGTTTCAGATGGGCACTGCTACAGTTATTGCAGCCAATTAGGGAGTGAACCAGTGGATGAAGACCTCTCCCTTTCTCTTTTTTTCCCTTCCTCCTTCCCTCTCCTTCTCTCTGTGTGTAACTCTTTCAAAAAAAAACACATACACACAGAGAGAGACAAACAGAAAGAGATTTTTCACTTGTTGGTTCACTTCCCAAACACCCATAACAGCCAGGGGTGGGCAGGTTGAAGCCAAAAGCTTGGAACTGAATCCAGGTCTCCATGTGGGTGGCAGATGATCCAAGTACTTGTGCCATAAATTTCAGATCTCTGTCTCCAAAACAAGGAATTTTCTAATTGAAATGCAGTGATCAAGTCAGAAAATTAATATTGACTTAAAGCTGTAATCTAATCAATAGAGTGTATTAAGATTGTGTCAATGTCCAAAAAAAGTCTGTTACAGAAAAACGGTTCAGTTTAAAATTATCATACCCTTTAATTTTCTTTAATCTGGGCCAGTAGCTGAAGGTATATTTTATGTAGTTGTTGAAGAGTCCAAGCCAATTATTTTGTAGAATAACATGAATTTGGGTTTGACTGATGTTTTTATGGTTAGATTTAGGTTATATCCTTTTGGCAAGGCTACACCAGAAATTATGCCAAATTCTCATTGTATTACATTAGAAGGCATGTGCAATCAGTCCAGATGTTCCCCATCTTCCTGGTAGTTGGTCTTTTCTTATGAGGAAGAACTTTCCCTCTTAAAGTATTTGCTTATTCAACTGTTTTTCACAGCAGTGTAGACTCTTGGAATTTTACTTTAGTTAGGATTTAATCCTATATATTCATTATTTTTGTTTGTTTTTTTAAAAAATCATTTTTAACTTACAGGAAATGAATTTTATTATTTGATGTGTGGATATATGAATTTTAACAGTTATGAATTATGTAATCACCACAGTGAAAACACATTGTAGCTTCCTCTCAAATTCCTTCTTGCTGCCTTTTTGTTTTCAAATGCCTTTACTATCCATAGTCCTGTCAACTTTTGATCTGTCCTCTGACCTTATATAAATATATGAATGAAACTACTACAGTTTGTAGACTTTTGAATCTAGTTTCTTTTACTTGGCATAGTTCACTTGAAATTCATCCACTGCTATATGAAAGTACTTCCAAAAATTCATGGAAAATGGAATTAAATAAACTTGCTTTGGTACAAAAAAAAACAAATCTTCAAAAAAAACTTCATCTGTATAGTGCACCACACAATTAGATTAAAACTGAAAGGATATATGAACACCACAGGAGATGTACAAAACTGTGATAAAATTCAATATATATTAATGACAAAAGTCTCTACATATGTAGCAATGGATGGGATTCACCTTACTATGATGAAAATCTCTACAAGGTCAGCAGCATTATATCCGTGGTTACATATCAAAAGTTCATCCTTAAAGACTGGATATGACTAAAAATTTCTGCTATCTTCAATTTTATTCCTCATGGTTTTGGAGGGGCTTTATTATAAAGAAAGAAAGAAAGAACAATTTAAAATAATTGAGAAGAAATTAATGCCAGTGATCTCTTCTCCTCTCTTTTCTGCTTCTCAAATTAATAAAAATTTAAATTGAAAGTATGTTATCACAAAAAATTAGAAGAAAAAGAAAAGAAGGGGGAAGAAGGGAGAGGAGAGAGAGAGAAAAGTATTCTTATATCTTTGGAATCATATCTATGAAACTCATAAAATATGTTCTCTGTATATTAATAAATGAATAAATACAATGTAAACTTAAAATAAAAAATTAAAAATGAAACCTGGGACAAATTATTTCAAATGCAATGAAATATCAATTAAGGCATTCACAATAAAGAAGAAAGCCAAAAGGAAAGTCCAGAATACAGGTGATCTGACACTATGTATGGAATTGAACAGAACTTCCAAATACTTGTTACTTGCAAACCCAAAAGGTCAGAGTGCAATGAACAATGCATGACACTGACTTAAACTAAAACTCCAATGACTGAAGACACAGATTTGCAGAACTTACGCAGAATAAAAAGAATGACAGAATGAAGAAAGTAAAAGCAAAACAGAGGGACAGAATCAAGTGATGTCAACAATCACCATAGAAAAAAGGTTAGGATGCATCTGAAGAAAACAAAAGGGAGTCCATGTAAGCTGTGTGGTGGGGAGCAAGCAGGTAGGAGAGGCCTCGATGCCACACTCCTATCCCCCAGGAAGAGGGTGCAGGCTCCTTACTGGAGGCTATCAGCTTCCCCCACACAGGGAGCATCCTGGACAGGCTGGGTCTGCATGGCACTGACCGCATATCAGGCACAAGCCAGTGGAACATCTCCTCCTGGTGGACACCAGTCACCTTGTCACCTGCTGCCTCCATGACCTTGTTTATCGTCCTCATTGATGCACCCGGGAGAGTCCCAAAGCGCCCTCCCAGGGGCAAAATGAATCCTGGGCAGTGCAAAGTCAGCATCAGAGGCTGCCTTTTCCCCAGCTGAGCAGCGTCAGAAAGTAAACTTCAGGATGACGTCATCAGAAGTTCGTCTCCACGCAGCTGGTGGGAATCGTGATCTCACTATAGGTTTCTTAATTATATTTTTCAAGGCTTGATGTTTGACTTTACTTTCCATTTCCAATGTGTGGTTTATTGTCTATGAATTTCTATTTCTCTCTTCAATCCTATTAATGGCTTTTTGGGGAGTTACGCTGCTATTCATTTTTAAACAGTTATGTATTCATTTGAAATGTGGAATGAAGGCGAGAGATCTTTCATCTGCTGGTTCATTCCCCAAATGCGCGCGTGTGTGTGTGTGTGTGTGTGTGTGTGTCACAGACTGAGCTCTGCCCTGAAATGCAAACGCTGAAGGCCCAGGGCCACGTGTGACTGTATTTGGAGATGAGGTCTTGACAGAAGGAAAGTGACGGCCGCCGTGAGGGGGGCTCTGGCCCCGTCAGAGTTCTGTTCCTCAAGAGGAGGAGACCGGAGCTCCACACTCCCTGGGAGGGCACAGCAACAAGATGGCCGCCACAGACAGGGGGAGAGCGCTCCCACGGCCCGGCCACGCTGGCGCCCTCATCCCAGACGCCAGCCCCACGAGCCTGAGAAAATCAGTGTCTGCCCTCTCAGCCTCCAAGTCCACCAGATTCTGTCAAAATGGCAGCCTGGGGAGAACCCGTGCATGTGCAGGGCACGCATGCAGGAAATTTCAGTGAGGTTACCCTCCCCCAGGGATTTCCTATGAAGATTAGCTCTGTGCTGGAAATACCTGTGATTGTTCATGGTTTTTACCAAGCGCAGAGGTGGTCTCAGCAAAGCCCTAGACAAAAAGGCCTTCCACACTGCCTCGCCTGGGCACCAGCAGCGACAACATACGGGTCCATCATTGACGTCACTGCTCTGCGTCCTCTGGGTGGAGCCTCCTGAGAGGCTCAGGGGCGGGAGCATCAGCTGACCCGGAAGTGGTGATTTCACCTGAGCAGCCAGCAGCCTGAGCAGGAGAGGCCTCAGCGCTCTCAGCAGACACTGGTGACACGGGACAAAGCCTCAGCAACTGCATGATTTCCTCTGCGAATGTAGGGGCCACTCAGTAGCGACGCCTGGGACCTATGGACGTTAGCGGGAGACCTGACAGGCACGGTGGTGGGGTCGTTGGTCCAGAGTAGACACCACGGGGCACAGCCGGGGAGGGGTGAGGGGTGAGGGCAGCTGTGCCAGTCTGGATCTGGGTGCTGGGGCCTGGGTGTGGCCACAGTGAACATTCATAGAGCAAGAGAAACTGCCACGTACTGTGCTGCTTTTTTTTTTTTTTTGACAGGCAGAGTGGACAGTGAGAGAGAGAGAGAGACAGAGAGAAAGGTCTTCCTTTGCCGTTGGTTCACCCTCCAATGGCCGCCGCGGCTGGCGCGCTGCAACCAGCACACCGCGCCGATCGGATGGCAGGAGCCAGGTACTCATCCTGGTCTCCCATGGGGTGCAGGGACCAAGGACTTGGGCCATCCTCCACTGTACTCCCTGGCCACAGCAGAGAGCTGGCCTGGAAGAGGGGCAACCGGGACAGAATCCGGTGCCCCAACCGGGACTAGAACCCGGTGTGCCAGCGCCGCAAGGTGGAGGATTAGCCTAGTGAGCTGCGGCGCCGGCCACTGTGCTGCTTTAAAAAGGGAGTTCTTGAAAGATTGGAATCCAAGTCTTGGAGTCTTTGGACAGGCGAGGTGGAATTCCTTAGCCTTGCAAACAAAGATACAGGCAAAGGTTCAAGCTACAGTCACCAGGGTGCTGTCCCTGGGGAATGGAACTGACCACTGAGTAAGTAGGACAGAGAATTTGAGATGTGAGTGATGATACTGAGAAAAAACTGGTGTTGGTTGAAAGGTTTTGCAAAGTAAATATACTGCAAAGCAGTGCACCATGGAGCTATGAGAAAGAATCAGGCCCCTGCTGATGAGTATTTAAATATAGAGACACTTCTCACTGACATCCCAATCGATTGGATCCAAATAATAAATACATCAGAATAATAAGGGGAGGGCATCATTATGGATGGATTTACACAGATGCTGGGAGATGCCCCTGCATTGTATTCTATATTCAGGATTGAATCTCCCACAGCTTCCCATCCTCTTAATCACCTCTGTTTTCACAGCACTTTTCACAGACACAACTATTTTCCCTGCATCACAGCAATTCTTTCGTGTTCTCTTTACTTGATTTTACCTCAGGGTCACTGGGGCACATCCAGCCTCTAGGTGAGTCCCTGAAATATACAAGGGAGGTGTTATTTATTGAATAAATAAATAAGGAAAGACTTTATGAATGACACAGTTTAGCAGAAAGAAAAGGTAAGCCCAAATATGATTTTGTATTTTCTAGTAACTCAAAAGGACAAATTTCAAAAGGACAAAATCAACCAGATAAAATTAGTTTAATATACACAACACATTCATTTCACCCAAAATGTTACTGAACTGCGCAATCTATGTGAAGATTAATACATCTTGATTCACATTAACATTCCAACACATGAATGTTTTAAAATGGACCGCATAGTTCCACTCAAACTAGCCCCATTTCCAGTGCCCCATGGTCCTCTGTCTTCTTTTCCTCATATAAAACTTGATGGAGACTCCTCTGCAGAACTTGATGTCAGATCAGCCACTGAAAGCTCATGGATGAAAGGTCATTCTCATATTTGAAAGGAAAGAAGTCAGTTTGAGAATAATTTTGTTATGTTTCATCAGAAAAAAGGGGCAAAATGTCGGGTAGCATGATGCTAAAATTCCACCAATACCCTCCAACCTTGTGTTTTTCTTAGATGTATAAAATCCATAAAAGGTCAAACAGTTGTTTGACAAATAAAAGAACACAAAGCAAAATACCATCAAAAGGATTGTGTGGGTGGCTTTGTTTTCTGGAGATGTCTTGGAAGAGAGACTGGAGGTGTGAATGTGCTGGGCCCTCCTGTGGTGTCTGTAGAGGATCCACACCATGTAGAGGCTGGACCAGATCATCAGTGCCAGGAACACTGCATCGTGAATCACCAAAATACTTACAAATGACCTTGATTCATGGGCACTGGGCTTCCTGGATTGACAATATGCATTAACATATCCCTGACCAACCACAGTGAAATTCAATTTGGCTCTTATAGTTCCAATGACGTGGATATAGATCAGCATGTTGATGATCCAGAAGAAAAGGAAAGAGGGGAAAATCCAGGTAGACAGCTTAGATTTCAGTCTTGCCCATTTAGAATGACTGGGACTGATGGTGATGGCTTGAACTGCACTCAGAAGAGCAGTGGTGCAGATGGAAATACCGCGGGTGACTCTGTATGTGTACAGAAAAGTTTGACAGCCAGCGTTATCTAAGAAACGTTTGACTCCAAAGGATGACATGATGTCTGGTATTGACTGGAACACGATGGTTACAATATTGACCACTGTCAGGTGCATGAAAATGGAATCTATGGGCTTCTTCAGATGAGGCTCGATTAGGAGAGTGTAAATATAGATCATGAAGAGAAATGAGTTTGCCAAGACACCAATAAAAATCTGACATATTAGAAAGCAGCTATAAATTGTGTCACTTGGTGACATAATCTCAATGATGTTTAGATGTTTTGATTAGGATAATTTGACATCTTCTGGAAAATACATCATGAATCACTATGATACTTATAAATGACCTTGATTCATGGTTTCCAATATTCCTGGATTGACAATATGCATTAACATATCCCTGATGGACCACAGTGAAATTCTATTTGGCTCTTAGACTTTCAATGACATGGATATAGATCAGCATGTTGATGACCAAAAAAAAGAGTAAAGAGGGGAAAATCCACTTGGAAAGTTTATATTTCAGCCATGCCCATTTAGAATGACTGGGACTGACAGTGATGGCCTGAAATACACTTAGGAGAAAGGTAGTACATATGGAAAGACCTCAAATCACTCTGGATACATACAGACATGTTTGACAACCAATATCATCAAACAAGTTTTTGATTCCAGAAGATGACATGAGTTCTGGTACTGGCTGGATTGTTATAGTTGAAATACTGACTACTGTCAGATGCATGAAAATCCAGTCTATGGGTTTTTACAGATGAGGCTCAATTACAAAGGTGTATGTATATATCATGAAGAGCAATGAGTTTGCCATGACACCAATACAAATCTGACATATTAGAAAAAAGCTATAAGTTGCATCACTTGGTAACATCTCAATGATGTTGTTAATTTTATAGATAGTTTAATTAGGTTAATTTGACATCCTGTGAATAATATACAGATTATATTCTGAAATTATAAAGAATGAAGTTTGTTGAAGAATATGATGATAAACAGCTCTGAGAGACAGGTGGATAAATGTTCAAATCTTCTATATTTCAGACCCAACTGTGGTAATTCCAGGGACTGAACTTCAGGCATCCTTTGAATGTCAGAGTATAGTTATACATGATATGGAGACGGTGGACATCAAATACTCACATCCTACTTTCTTGTCTACTGCACGAGGACGCGTTGGCATCTATGAACGTAAAATTTGCTTGAGATGCTTTCTTCAGAGAACAAGACTGCTTGTTATCGCTAAACCCAAGTGCATAGTCTCACCTTTCTGAATAATATTCTACTCCTAATGCATGAGGAGTAGTGTGTTTGCACTACTTTCTTAGAATTTACACTGCCAACTCAATTATTTCAAACAGGGAACATTTTTAAGATTTTATTTCAGACAAGTTTTAAACACTCATGTATTATGCCAATCAAAAATAAAATTAATTGGGGCTGGCACTGTGGCACAGCAGGTGAAGCTGCCAACTGCAATACCAGCATCCCATATTGGTGCCGGTTGGAGTCCCGGCAATTTGACTTCCGAACCAGCTCTCTACTATGGCCTGGGAACACAGTACAAGATGACCCAAGTCCTTGGGCCCCTGCACCCACATGGGAGACCTGGACAAAGCTTCTGTCTCCTGGCTTCAGATCAGCACAGCTCCAGGTTTTGCATCATGTGGTAATGTGAGGAGTGAACCAACAGATGGAGGACCTCTCTCTCTCTACCTACCTACCTCTGCCTCTGTCTAACTCTGCCTTTAAATATTTAAATAAATCTAGAGGGCTGGCACTGTGGCACAGCAGATTACCAACCTGGCCCGAGTGCCTGCATCACATATGGGCACAGATTTGAGACCTGGCTTCTCCACTTCTGATCTAGCTCTCTGCTATGGCATGGGAAAGCAGTAGAAAATGACCCAGGTCCTTAGACACCTGCCCCACATGGGAGACCTGGAAGAAGCTCTTGGCGCCTGCCTTGGATTGGCACAGTTCCAGCCATTGCAGCCATCTGAGGAGTGAACTATCTGATGGAAGACCTCTTGCACACGCGTGCACGTGCACTCTCTCACTCTGACACTCTCTCTGTATAACTCTGACTTTCAAATAAAAATAAATAAATCTTTGAAAAAATATTTAAATAAATCTTAAAAAAAGAGAAAAGAAAATGTCGTAGGTACTTCAAAGCCTAGAAAGGGCACCCAGGAGGACAGAGCAGGTCACCAAACACAGCTCAGTGGGGCGCTCACTGGGAGGGCAGCGGGGAGCTGCTGGGAACATCCACAGGCCCTGGGTGGTTAATTAAGGTTGGTCTGTACAGGGTAACCTGCAGAAGTGTCAGAGTAGCACTGGGGGCCCTGGGGGAAGACAAGTAGGAAGCTGTAGCCCATGGGGAGCTTCTGGTTCATCAATGAGTCCAATGACTTCATATTAAATGAACGAAGTCCAAAGTTCCACTGCTACCAATGCAAACTCTAGTAGGATCTCTTTTGGCTAAGTCTGCTGAAGGGCTTTACAAGAAAGGGAAGGAAGAAGTCTCTGGAAAAATGTGGCTCTCAGTCTTAGGAACAAGGAAGTGTCCAACTGAGGGACTGAAGCCAAGGTCAGTCTGCTCACCTGTCAGCTCACACCTTTTTATGCTCTCTTACTTGGCATTGCTGGCAAGAGCAAAATCATATCACAATCATTATACACAGTCATCCCTCAGAGCACGGGAATCTGCAAAACACTCCACAACAGGGTGTAATAGAAGATCACACATGATTGCATTCCTGTGCTATCCATTCTTTTTACAATTTCTGATATCTGTAAACTAAATTATGTTATATATGGTATTTAATTTAACAGATATCATGTTAGATATTAGGAGAAATTAACTATAAACAAAGCAAAATTCTTATGGTTTACTGACAGTTAACATAAAGAAAGAAAGACTGGCAGATCAACACATAGACCTATTTCTAACTCATTTTGTCTATATAAACAAATACTAAACATATATTCATTTTGTCTGTATATACAAATAGATATGCACAAACATACACAAGTAAACAAGAATGAGAAATGAAAGTTGTACTAAAACAAAAATGCAAGATATATAGGAATGATGAAGAAGAAGAAAACTGACTATTCAAAAAGGGTAGACTAAATAAATGAGAATAAAAATAAAAGAGGAAATATTGCAACTAATACTGCAGAAATACAAAGGATCATAAGAGCTAACTACAGTGAATGCTAAACAAGCAAACAGAATAAAGTAGAAGAAATCAATAAATATCTAGAGACATGAAATACACCAAGACTGATTCATGAAGAAATATATTGGAACAGAAGAGAATCAGTTAAGAATACTGAAATGTCTCCTATAAAGAAATTCCTTCACTATTGAATTCTACTGAACATTTAAAGACCAGATACTACTCTCAAAGTTCTCCAAAACACAAAGACAAGGACTATATTACCCTGATCTTTTTTAACAAAAAAAATCCAGATGTGGATTTTTTAATGTGAGATAAGAAAATTACAGGCCAATATCTCTAATGAACATTACAGAAAAAATACCCCATAAAATACTTGGAAGGAAAAGTCAATTGCACAATAAAAGCATCATTCTTTATAAATAAACATGACCTCCAAGGAGTGCAAGATGGTTCCACATTACAAATAAATAAATGTAAGGCAGCATGTTAACAGAATGAAAAATTAAAGAATATGACCACCTCAATAGGTGCAGAAAAAGCACTTGACAACACTGAACATCCTCTCATGTTAAAAAAAAAAAAAATGTGGCCAGTGCTGTGGTGGGAAAAGCCACTGACTGGAGTGCCAGTATCCCATATGAGTGCTGGTTCAAATCCTGGATGCTCCACTTCCAATCTAACTCTCTGCTGTGGCCTGGGAAAGCAGTAGATGGCCCAAGTGCTTGGGCCACTGCACCCAAGTGGGTGACTCGTAAGAAGCTCCTGGCTCCTGGCTTCAGAATGGCCCAGCTCTGGCCATTGAGGCCATCTGGGGATGGAACCAGCACATGGAAGACCTTTCTCTCTGTCTCTCCCTCTGTCTGTCTGTAACTCTACCTCTCCAAGAAATACATACACCTCTTTAAAAAAAAAAAAAGGTATCAACAAACTAATTATAGATTAATGGACCTAAGTATAATGAATGCCTTAAGTGACAGGTTCACAGCTTATCAGAGTCAATGATGAGAAGATGCAGCCTTCCTGTCTAAGAGCAGGGTCAGGATGTCCACTCCTGCCACTTAGACACAATGTAGTCCTTGAAGTCAGAACCATAGAAACAAAGCAGGAAAATGAATCATTCATATTGCTAAAATATCCATGCTATTGATAGTGCTCTATGGATTCAAGGTGATCCCTATCTAAATTCCAATGACATTCTTCACAGAAACTGAAAAAAATCTATCCAAAAATTGATATAGAGGGGCTGGCCCTGTGGCATGGTGGGTAAAACCACCACCTGCAGTGCCAGCATCCCATATGGGCTCTGGTTCGAGTCCCAGCTGCTTCACTTCCAATCCAGCTCTCTGCTATGGCATGGGAAAGCAGTAGAAGATAGCCCAAGTCCCTGGGCCCCTCTACCCATGTGAGAGACCTGAAAGAAGCTCCTGGCTCCTGGATTTGGATCAGTACAGCTCCAGCCATTATGGCCAATTTGGCAGTGAGCCAGTGGATGGAAGACCTCTCTCCCTCCCTCTCTCTATCTCTATCTCTATCTCTATCTCTATCTCTGTATCTCTGCCTCTCCTCTTTCTATGTAACTCTTATTTTCAAATAAATAAATAAATCTATAAAAATTCATATGGAACATAAGACACCGCACTAGATGAACCAATCTTGTAAGGAAAACCAAGATAAACATCAGATGTCCTGATATCAAACTATATCAAAGAGTTGTACTCACCTAAACAGTATGGAAGAGAACTAGGAAAAGACTCACTGACCAATGGGAACAAAGATCCCAGAAGTAAATCCACATATATGTGGTAAGCTAATCTTTGACCAGGACACCAAGAATATACAATGGTGATAGGCCACTGGGTAAAACCACTGATATTGATATAATTGGATATCTAGATGCAGAAAAATGAAACTGAATCACTTTACAACAAGGACAAAAATCAATTCAAATAAGAATAAAGACAGTAATGTAAGACCTGA